TTAAGCTGAAGCATGAAATAGTAGTGAAACTACAACAGTAAAATAAAATTTGGTTGTGAAAAACATTCTGCAAAAGGTATGTGAACTGGTATGTATGCATGTATATACTTATCTCTGCACATGTGTGTAGCTGTGGACGTGTGTGAGAATGTGTCAGTATCTCCATGTGTCTCCCCTGCAGGACCTGGTGGACTTGTTGCAGCAGCGTGTGGTCCTGCTGGCAGAGGAGAGCTACCGGGACGGGGAGCTGCTGCAGCAGGTCGGCTCAGAGCTGCTGTGTCTGCAGAGCTCCGAGCTGAAGCTGGAGGGCCTGGTGGAGGAGCTGCATGCTGAGGCCCATCGCAGAGCTATGGTGGCAGAGAGCCTCCGGGCAGAGCTACGTGCTGAGGCCCGGCACAGAGCTGTGCTGACGGAGAGCCTGGAGGTAGAGCTCCACAGGTAGAGAGAGATGTTAGCTTCCCTGCTTTATGATCTTGATGTTGTTATCAAGCCTGCTGTCCCATTTTCGACCTGCAAAGCAAAACCACACAGACACTTGTCACCATGGAGATAGAGGGGACGGGGAAGAACCAGCATCCCCTTACGCCAAAAAGCAACAGGGCTGATGGGATATCTGGTCTTAAAAAGGAATAATTTAAAGTAACATGTAAGCCTCACAAGGCTCAATATTAATCGTGTAATTTGTCGAATATTAGTCGACTGACAGAAAATGAATAAATCCATTTAATTAATGTAATAACAGAAATACATTATATTTATAGAGCATATTGGAAACACATATTGTTTATACTGTATTGTGTGTCTGATTAGGTGTACTTGGACATATGCATATTTGTGTTTTAGACTGTCAGTTTGATACCACTTGTGCAGTCTGTACCCATCTTAAAAGGTCAGGAAGTACTTAGGAATGTAGGATTAATTTGTATAGTTGGTGTAATTTATGTATATTTTGTACATGTCTGTGTGCATGTGCCTTCGTGTAAGCACCTGTATCAGATGATATGAAGCTTTTACTCTCTAAAGTAAACAGAATAACTGAAGCATTAATATAGCTATGAAATAACAACAGTAAATAAAACTTTGTTGAAAACATTCTGCAAAATGTAGTGTGAACTGGTATGTAGCATGTATAACTCTCATCTCCACTATTGTGTAGCTCGTGGCGTTGGAGAATGTGTCAGTATCTCCATGTGTCTCCCGAGACTGTCGGTTGGACAGTAGAGGCAATCTAAAGACGTCACCATGGGCTCTCTGAGGTTGTGGGGAGCACTTTTTATGTTTTCTGACTTTATAGAGTAAAACATGAATTGAAAAAACAATTAACTGATTGATTAAAAAAAGCTTTAAAAAAAAGTTAGATACAGCCAAACTAAATATTCATTATCTAGATTCACTTCTTATACTGACTTATTACATAGAGACATATAAGACTGAAGCACATTAGATCTCTGAAGAGTTGTTATTGATATTGGTGGTAATTATTAAGTTCATTGTGCTGTATGTCCATTTATCAGTGTACATCATTGGTGATAATACTAAAATGAGGGTGCACAATAAAAGTGCATTACAAACCTTTACTGTGCTTCAGACGAGGACCCGTCACAGCTCTGAGCTGTGGAGGAAATACCAGAAAAAATGGTTGCGGTTCCTTGTTTTTCTCACCCATGTTGAATTGTCAATAGTTCGATTGAAACACATTCCTCTATGTTCCACCCAGCTGTTAAAACTGAACAAAATGTAAAAACGAACCAGATAAGGCAGCAGACTAAGAAAAGAAACATTCAAATTAAAAACCCACTAACGTTTGATTACCATCTCCAGCAAACTGAAGCCAAGTGAAGCTGTCACCAGCTACTCTGAAAACCCACAGAGAAGAACTACATCTCAAACTGTTGTCTCAAGACTGAATGAAAACATTGAGGTCTGACCTGCGATTTTAAGTCAGCAGAAATGCAGTGGTCCTCCGAGCAGCGCCGTGCCTCAATCTGCTGACTTTAAATCCTTGTGGAGAGTTGGCTTAGTGTCAGAATACGTTATCACATTATGATTCTAGGCCCACAAGTCAGAAGATGAAAGAAACGGTTAATATTTAAATTTTTACATTTGCCTTAAAATTGATACAATAATGGAAATGGATCTCATTTGCTTGTCTGTGACAGAGTATCACAGAGGATTGAAAATAGTAATCCAGTTGAATGCATAAATCTGTGGAAGAAACACCTGTAAAAACACTGAAATCAATCCAAGCACCAAATAGTTGCATTTAAACTAAGACTTTAAAGTTCTGTTAAAGGTCCAGTGTGTA